TTTACAGAATATCTATTTGATATTATTGGATTTTCAATTAAGGTTTCATTAGAATAAATTATTGGCGTGTCAAAAAAACTTGGATCTTTTGAGATTTCACTTTCCCCACGTCTTTTCAAATAAATTGTAAATAATATTGAAGTGCAAATCACAATCAAAATACAAAAGATTTTGTTATCCTTAATTTTTCTTGATAGCTTTTTAAGCTTTCTAGTAAGAGAATTATTAGATTTGCACATGTAATCTTCTAATTGATTAATGTGTTCAACTGGTCTATCTGAGGTGTTATTAAATGGTTCCATATTTATGGGTAAGAAAAAAAATTATTTAAATTAGTTATTCAATCTATTTTTGGCAAATATTAATTTTTTAATAAAAAGTCAAATAAATTTAAATAATAGAAAGAAAAAACTGTTGTATAATTGCTTATTATACTTGTAAAAATAATTAGAATATTATGAAATTAATTTTTTAATTTTAGTCTTTTGAAATTGAATTTGTTTGTTTTAACATACAAAATATCTTTTAAACTATAAAATTGGATTTGCATTATTTTTATAAATTTTTAAATAAATGTGCCCTAATAATCTTGTGATGAAAAGAGTTAATAAACAATCAAATAACAAGGAAAATATAAATATAATTAATGAGATTGAAGAAATAGTCTCTATTAACAATGTTAAAGAAAGTAAATCTAAATTAGACCAATATTTAAAGACTATCGATGTCAATGTTTTGGTTACAAATATACTTGAAATTATCAATGTGATAAAGAATACTCCTTGTTTTTACTATATAAAAGAGAATATTTACAGTATGTGTTTAGTCTCACTATTAAAAATACATAAAATGCCAAATAATAGCAAGGTTGAGATAGTTAATTATTTAATTGATTACGATAATGACAGTAAATATTTTATTGATCTTTTTAATAACATCATGTTGCATTATGACGAGTTAAGTACTTTTAATGTTAATGGAAAATCTTTTAACAACTATGTTTTGTGTAGAATTATTGAAAGGATTATTGAAGATAAAGATTTATTGAAGAACATTGATTTCTTTAAAAATTTTAATTTGAATAATAATTTTGTTGATGGATTGATAAGTAATATAAATAGCAATATAACGGTTTTATTTATATTGAAGTATGTTTCTGAGTGGTTGGATAATGTTACAATTGATTTAAGAAATTTTAAAAATGATAATGTTGATATCAGTACACTAGAACTTAATTATACATTATTTAAAATCTTGAAAAGTTGTCCAACATTTTACAAGTTTATTGTTAATGATATTGATAATATTGAAACAATGCAAAAGGAATATATTTACGGGTTATTTGGATGTGATTGTATAAAAACTATAGTTTTAACAATATACAGACGAATATTTAATTACGCATTAAAGGTAGACAAGAAAAAATTAACTAATATAAAGTTTATAGATGCTTTTAGTAATGTTGAATTACATGGAATTTATAAGAATGTAAAAAAATACCCTTCAATATTTGTAAATATTTTTAAACAGGTATCATCCCAGAGATATTTGATATACGAATTAAAGAAGACAAAATCAAAGTTTATTTTAGAGAATATTGATTTAATTGAACTAAACACAAGTGATAAAATGGAATATTTTAAATATCTATTGATTATTTTGGAAGTAAATAAAGAATTAGAGTTAGGTGTGTTAACAAGCAATGATATTAATTTATTGAGTAAACAGTTTAACAAATTACCATTAATACTTAAATATGATATTTCTAAATTACTCTACTCATACATATGCAGTGTGAAATATGATCTTAATAATAAAGATGTGGTCAATATGTTGTTATACTTTAATAATATTGAAATTGATATGAAAGAGTTGATAAACCTTATAAAAATTAACTCTAGAAAGAATACTGATCATGTATATTGCAATAATTTATTGATTTTATTAAATGATAGAATTGATTTGGTTAAAGATAATTATAATCTTGCAAAGGAAATAGATCCAGTGTTGAGATATTTTATAGAGAAAAAGTTATATTTAAATGTAAGCGGTGAAATATTTAACCAGTTATACTTTATGGAAGGTAAACCCAAAATAATAGATATGGTAGTACTAGGTGCAATTAATGATTCTAATTACACTAGTTGTTTGGCAAAGAAGATGGATGATGAAAATATGGATATTTATCTTTCATATATTTACAATCTTAAATACCTTAATAAGAATAAGATTAATTATGATTATATTCAAAAAATAATTAATTATAATAATAACATCCTTAATAGACTATTGTTAGACTTTATTTACACAGATTTAACAACTAAAAACAATCTAAATGGGAATTTTGTTAATACAAATCTTAAATATTTTAAGAATTTATTAGCAGATGATTTTGAATATGTAACAGCGATATTTATACTGGCATTAAGAAATAACATGGTTATACCCGTATCCGTAATTCCATTAATTGTAATTTTTGTAAATTGTGATTATTTATATAGAAATTATCTTGATACCTGTGTTAATTCAGTTGCCAAATCAATAACAATTGCAACTAATTATATTATAGATGACATACAATCATACTCTAATAATGGGTTCATTACAAATAATTATATTATAAATATTATTAATAGATATACGGATATCTTATTCATCTACAATCTTTATAATCATTGTGGTATCAAAAAGTTGTTATCAAGTTTAACAGATCTTTTTAATACAACACCGAGTAGATTACTTTTCTATCTTTATATAGTTCTTAAGAATATTAAAGGTTGTTCTGATAAAGACAGAGATAAGATGTTTAAATATTTAGAAGAAAACGTTTATGATGAGAATTCATTGAATTTTATAAGTTCAGTTAAAGTTAGTTATAAAAAGAATAGAAG